CGCAGCCGCTGCTCTGCCTCCGCCTCAGTCCGTCACCAGCCCGGAAGAAGCCACAGCAGCCGCCGCCCCTCCCCCAACTCTCCGGTTTTACGCGTGGGGCGCCGGCGGGCCGAGCTCGCCACCGGGGCGCGTTCCCCCTCGCGCAGCTCCGGTCGCGGGAAGGGGTTGGCGTCCAGATGTCTACTCCCAACACGCGCGCGACCACGTCCGGCCGCCTCTCCCCCCCCTCCTGTCCTCTCCCTCCGCGCTCTTCGGCGCGCCTGAGGGTAGTGGCTCCGGCGCCGCCTTATATAGCCTCGCCCCCCCTACACGGGGCTACAGGAGTACAACGGCAAGGGCGCAGACAGAGAAAGGGGCGGTACTGCGGCTGCGTCTTCTTCGAGGGGCGGTGCACTGGAGGGGGCGTGGTTAGCCCGGAGTGAAAAAAGAAAAGAGGCGGTGCCGCAGATGGAGAAAAGGTTGAACCAAATCTGTGGCGGGGGAGGAAGTAGATGATCGAGACACTATTTATACTTCGTTGCGTTTGCTTTTCTTTTGCAATCCAGCTGGATTTGTTTCGGTTTGCACAACTTTCAACTCAGTCGTGCTTTTTTTTTTTTTCTCCTAACACTGGAAGCAGTCAGGACGTTGAACAGAGATCCGAACTGTGCAAAAGGCAACTTGAGCTAGGAAAGCAATTAAATTGCTGAAAAGCTCGTATAAAATGCTATTTGGCGCAGCTGCCAGAATTACTTAGGATTCCTCAAGAAACTTCTGTTTTCGCTACCGTAATGTAATGGAAGCTCTGAGTTCCTAACAAAAACAGCAAGTCACTCCAGTAAGGAAATAACGACCCAGAAGGCTTATTCTATAGCCCGAGCCTCCTCACTGGGACGACTGTGGGATTTGCTCTCAAAGTAGATTAATATGTAATTTCCTTAATCATTCCACTTTTCCCCCCTTTGCTGATGGTGCAGTCCTTACGGAAGAAGGCTTGTTTCCCGAAGATTTCCGACGTGCCTCATTGACTATTCATGAGCTGCGGAAGGCGGGGAAATAAAGCCGCCCCCCTAAGGGAGGGGGTGTGGCTACATTCCGAAGTTTTCCGAAAATGATCGAAGGGACCCCGAGGGTGGAGAGTAGGGCGCCTCTCAGAGCTAGCTTTTGTCGAGCGGGAAGTCGCGGCGGATGGAACGCTCCGAGGAGCGGCCTGCAAGGCCTCGGGCTCGCGTGATTCACTTGGCCGGGAGAGACGCGCGCTTGTCCGGGCGCTCCGCTTAGGAAAGCACGCTGCTCCAGGGCCTACCTCCACAACTGACTCAGGCCTTCGCGGAAAGGCTCCTAGAGCTGCTTGGGGGTATGGAGGGCTAGAAGTTAGGGGAGTTGCGGGGAGAGGGCGGCCGAAGCAGGTTACCTAGTCTCCCGGTGACTGCATAGGAGGAGGTTGATTGGGCGGGGGGAAGACTACTTTGCGAAGGGGCGCCTTGGGGTTCAGGGCGTTGCTGCCGTTAAAGGGCTGGGCTTCTATGTGTGATAGGAAAGGGGGAGCTT